CCTACACAACAATAAATAAATAAATAAATACATACATACACAAATACCATTTTCTAAAGAGAGAGACATACATTTCAGCTTAGAAACCCAGGAAATGAGCAAGCAGGAAAGCTATCTGGGAAAGTAAGCAGGGAAAATAACATTCCCTAGTTGCCCTTTTCATATGCACAGAAAAATGGTAGGGTGTTTTGGATCAGAGAAGTGTTTTGCCATAACTGAAACCAAGTAATCTTGTAAACTGCTGTCCATCTCAGCCTCAGATGCTTTTCACCTTGTCTTAATGCAATGGTAATACCTTGAGCTTCTCTCAAAGTGAGACATTTGTAAGCCCTCTGAGACTCCCTCAGAAATTTCCAAAGCCGGAACAGGTGCAGACAAGGGCTGCAGAACTGGGTAAGAGAATGAAAGAGTCTCTTTCTTAAAACAGACTATCCATTTTCCCTAGCACCATATATGAGAGATAGCTAGAAACTAGATGCAAAATGGATTGCACTAGAATCCCTCACGGCACTGAGATAGTATCAGGTGTCTGGCTGGTGTTTCTTTCCCCTAGACAAAACCAAACCAAACCACAAAAAAACACCCAAAACCCCAACAAAACCAGAAACAACCCATCCTTGCAAGTATTTTTTCCTTTTTTTAACCTAAGGCACCTGTGATCTCTTATTCCCTTCTCAAGGAATACCTTTGTATTATCATTGCTTTTAGTCTCTTCTACTAGACCTTCTTGCCTGCAAATGAGAAGGACTATGTTTGTATAATTGAGGAGGATCCTCTCCTACATAAGAGAAAACTGTTAACACTATTCTGGGTTGCATTACCTGTTTTATCTTCTGCCACTATTGATGTACATACAGTAAAAATTTCGTAAAAGATGTTAAAAATCACAATTTCTCCTAGAAAAAAAGAAAAGAAGTTCAATAGTTTGAATCTTTTGCCATGAAGAGAAAAAAATGCTTAGAAAAAAAGCATACTGCAAAGTTCAGCATTCTATAATATTTCTCTTAAGAACTTCTGTTTAAATCTCATTTGATCTTTGAAACGGCCGGGTCAGCAAAATCAAGAGCTTCCTGATAGGCAAACAGAAGGATCAGAATGCCTTGGCCTTCTGCCTTACCATACAGAAGGCTGACAGTCATTGCTACTTCCTCCTCTGGAAACTTCAAAACAAGCTATAAAATTCACTTTAAAGAAGCAAGCTGCTACATGTACCACTATTCCCATGCAAGAGCTTCTGACCAGCACCAGAGGTACTGCTCCTGTCTGAGGAAAGCAGTGGAAGCAGGACTATGGACCTTCTCTGTCTCAATTCTGGAAGAATCCAGTGATTACTTCTCACTTGGAACTGCGTTCTTTTGCAGGAGGTGCAGAAAGCAGGCAGGAGGATGTGGCAAGGATCACAAAGGAAAGAAAGCTCAGCATGAAACTGAGTCTTGCCTTCTTGCTATGTCAACAGCAGCCACACAGCTGAATGGGAAACCAATGAGAATCAAGGATCTTCCCCAAATTTTGGTGCACAGGAGCTGAGAGTCACTCCAGTTCCCAAAACTCAGGAGCGAGAAGCTACAGCTCCACAGAGAAGTCCCAGCCTGATGAAAGGCTTATGTGATTTATTGCCATTCTCCTCTAAAATACTGTTCGCATTTAGTGTGAGATGCAATTTATTGCTTTATCTACTTAATTAACAATTTATTTAAGTCACAGATGACTACAACTATACTGCAGATTGGTACACATACTAATTTTAAACCAGCCTGGATTCCTAGTTTTTCACTACATTAATAAAGTATTGGAAACCATTACCCAAAGGAATCCCAGATGAATTTGCAATCCCTTGGAGTTCTTCATTGAAAGGATAAGGAAGCGTGGCAGTCAGATGAGCCTGAAAGGAAAAGTTTTGTACATTGTTTGTGTAAATTAACGCTACTTTGTTACTTAAAACAAACCTCTCCCCAATAGGTGCATCCTTCTCACAACTACTAAATTTAGTACTTAATTCCTCTGCAGCCTGTAGAACTTGAGCATGTTTGTAGAGTACTTGGAAGACAAGTACATACTTAGGAAAAGCAAAAGCTATGACTTATCAAAATATTGACATGTGAGCAATGGAGATTAGCACAGTGTCTGAAGTATCATTAGCAGCAATAGACAAAACAGAGTGAAGTAGGACTCTCATACGTTAAGAGCTCAACTGGAACCGAGCTTGACATCAGTGTTTAAGGGAACCCCTAACTGACTACCTGTATATGCTACCTTTATGTCAACCCCACTCAGGCACACAGGGGTACAAATGAAGTGTGGCCAGCATAACCTAAGGCTGCTGTAAATAAAGGTGGGGGACAGATGTGACCTTCTGCTGTCTCTAGTGCTACACTGGTTTCCCCTGTCCTGATTCTATGCCAAAGCCTATTTTAATCAGAACCAAATTATTTTTTAAGATGAAGCCTGCTCAAAGTTGCCCCTTTAATTGGACATCTACTACAGTTTTCAAAACCTGATTTTATTCTATTGTTTAAAAGGAGTTGAACATGGCAAAGAGAATTTCAGTGAAGCATGTTGCTACAGTGACTAAGTCAGTAGCATATATGTCTAGCATGACTGATCCAAACTTGAAAAACTCTTAGAAAAAATTACAGGAGGAGGGTTTCATGGTTTCAGAGTAATTCAGAGTAGGCAAGAAGGCAAAATTTCACCAAGGCAGCAAAATTTCAGAGTAACTCTTCAAAACAGCATTTTTGTTCTGGAAGTGGAAGAATTATCATTTGTAAAGTTCTTAGTTGCCAAATTTAGTAGCATTTTAATTCTGGTAGTCAGAGCATACAGTATTAAAATAATTAAGCTGAAAATACTTACTATTTTGTTATCCACTATGTCAACAACTTTGCCACTGGGGAAGAAGGTATTTGCTATATCTTTAATATTCTGAACCACAGTCTTCAGCTAAAAAGAACAAGGGCTTTTATTGAATAGAAGATCTTGAGCATAAGACTTGCTAGAACTAATACTAACAGAACTTCTTCACATACTTTTCAAAAACACATTTTTGTTGAAAATATATGTATTTAAAGAAAGTGCCAAATGTGATGTTCTTGGTGAGAAACCCCCCCCAACATCCCAATAAAAAGTCACTCTTCAAGCTTTATTCAAATAACTTTCTAGATGAGCTCCAACATGTCCCTCTACCAGAGAAAACAAATTACAGGAAAAAGCCATCCTCGTCTTCTGTTCCTTTGATGACATTTTAATACTCTGCACTCTATTATCTTTAAAAATGTTAATGAAAAGCTTTTTGCTTAAGCACTTATGTTCTTGAAGCCAAAAGATTCAATAAACTTCTTATAAAAGTACACGCTTTCCATTTGTGACGTGAATGGCCACAAACAGAGTTCCACTCCATGTGATCTAACTCCAAAGTACATGAGAGATAAAACCTTTCAGAATTTAAGGTGCAACCTGAAGCTTCCAACGTCCACTGGCTTAAACGAGACTTTTAAAATAAATATTACAGTGTAAGTAGAATTTGCCTGGCTTTCAGAGTTGAAAGGTCAAAGTCAGCAGGGATACAGGAAAAATCCCTGGCCTCTTTTGAGAAATTAAGCATTACTGAATTGAATTTTCAGCAACCTTCAGAAGAACAGCTGTTCTAAGTAGTTTAAAATAGGCTCAAGTATTTAAAAAATTATTTCTGCCGTGTAAACACCAGTGCTGCAACCAGCATCCCTGAGAAGGGCAGGCAGTTCTCCATTTCGCCCTCGCCATTTCAAACCACTGCATGAGATGATGAGAGAAGCAGGGATGCGCAGAGGAGAAGGGATGCTGCCTCAGTTTCACTTCAGTTCACTGAGGCTGTCCCTTTGGTGTACTCCTCCCCCTTCGTTCTGTATTACTTCATGAGTAAAGAGCTTTGGTAAATGAAAGCTTGCTTTATTGCTGCACCAGTTTTTATTTCTCTACATCCCAAACATCAGTGCCCCTATACTTGATGCTGTGAGCTCAAGTGTTGAACAGAAAAAAGTTTTACTCAAGCAATTATTTTAGTCTAGAATCATATTAAAAAAGTCAACTAGAAATACTATCCCTTTTGGAGAATTTTAGCACAGGTATTCCTTTGCAAACCTGTTTTCAAAATAAAAGGCCACGTACTAGTTTTATTCCTGCTAAGCTTCAAAGCAAACTCTGCATTTCATACCTCTGTCTTTTTGTCATGCATCAAGTTATCCCATCTTTTGCTGGGAGGTAAATCAAGATTTATGACATATGTGGGTACGTTCCCTTTGAACCTGAAAGATAAGTATCAGAGTTCAAATTTAAAGGTGGTTTTGAAAAAACATTTGACAAAATAGGTGCTTCCCACCTGTCACTAGCATTTTCTAGATCTGCAACAGGAACAAGTTACAAAAAAAAAAAAAACCTGTTCAGACTTGCAAATCACTACTTTTCTGTAATTTTTTAGACAAGTTGAATTAGATTACTTACGTTGGTCCTGAAGGAGGGTATGTTTTACTCCTGCACTCTTCTCCATACTGTAAAGGCAGGGAAACATTAATATTTAGCTGCTTTGTTAAAACACTTTATTGTTCTAGCAGACTTAGTTTTGAATGAAACCTTTAGGACTAGCCAGCTAACTTAATTCACGATGATTTGATAATAAAGTAAGAGAAAGTCTTGGGACTTCGGAAAGGGTGCAAAGGAGAACACCAGAGGTAGGTGACAAACAGCAACTTCCCCGTGCTGACAGACCTTCAGACAGCTTGCCTACTGTAGTCCGAGGCAAGCCCAAGCTTATGATAAATATACAAACCCATTTCTATTCAGTGCGATTCAATGAAGAGCACTTTGAGAGTATACTCTTTAGACAAGTTCAGAAACCTTAAATCTCAGTATGTTTGTTCCATTTGTTCAATTCATAATCTCACTTTATAGCATCATTCATAATTATGCTTAGTGTTAAGCTTCACTGTGTAGCTGGGGCAGAGAAAACACTGAACTTTGGGCAAATTACTCAGCCAGAGGAATGAGCTTTACGGCATGACTTTTTATTTAGTGTGGAAAAGCACTGCTGAACTGGTGCTAAATATTATGAGAGGTGCATTTCAGGAATATAACTAAAAACTAGTTACCTTCATTCCTGTAAGCATGGCTAGTTACAAATAAGAGTCTGAGAACTGTATTTAGGCATACTCAAAGTGAATGCAAGGGTGTTTTCCCATCAACTACATAAAGCATGCGTATACATACATAAACATATGCATATACATGCCATAATTATAATTGCATGTTTTACCCAGGGAAATACAAGCAAATGCCTACTAGCCGCACTTGTGGTTCCAGCCAGTTGAGAGCAGACCAGATTTGGTCCCCAAGCTACCTGAGCAGAGCAGTAAGCTCCCAAGAGCACAGTATGTCCCACTGGGAAAAAGGAAAGGTCCACGTGCTCTTCCGGCAGTCCGTACAAAGGCTCCCAAAGCACAAATGTTTGGGAGACAGAACAGAAACAAAAATATGTAGGGGTAGGGATCCTTCCACCACTTCTCCCCCTCCCCACTCTCGATTTCCAATATTTATTTGGCTGTACTAATTAGATTACTAGTGTGTCCTTATAATGCATTCTGGCTCCAGTAAAAACTGAGACAAGATCTCTAGCAGCTACGTATCTGGGACAAACAAGATAATTGAAGTCCATGTTCTCTTTGGGCTAATCACATTATCTGTTTTTAATGCATTAATCTAGAAAACACAATGTCTTACACAATGCCACGGACTCTAAACACTGGCATTATTTGTTACAACTGGAAACAGGAATGTTAAAGTGGGATTGGCTTCTCTGTGTTATCACGTGTTTTCTTTTTGTATTGTTTCCCGTAGCTGGAGAAAGCACAAGATTAATTTTGTTTTTCCTACACGCAAGACAAAGGTATAGGACTAGCAGCTATGTCCTTCCTAGATTTCACTGCAGTGCAGTCATAGCCTTTGCATAGCTGGAACAAAAGGTCAAACACAAGAGGCCATTTAATTTTCAAAATGAGGAAGTTTCAAAACAAGGAGGGTAGGGGAGTATATCAGATGACTAATTAGGCAACAAAAGTCAGAGGCTTTGTGCAAAGCCAAGCAAATACTTAAAAGTATTAATGCAATTGTCCTGTGAAATTTTCCATCCTGCAATACTAAAATCAATCAGAAAAAATGACATTACATATATGTCCTACTGCAACGGATGCAGAGATTTGGCCCTTCAGGAAATATTTGTTGTCAAAATATGCTTCTTGACAGATAAAGCCTGTAATAAAAAATTATCCGAAATGGAAGAAAGTTCAGTAGTATAGCCCATGCATGCACAAAAGAAACAGTGGTGACCATGGAAACTGATTTCAGAGGATTTTACGTGATGTTCCAGGTGCTAAATGTTATGTCACTCCTGATGCTCTCTCCTGAGATTTTAATCTTGTATTTGAAGCTATTTTTACCTTCCCAGTCCTCTGCAACCTAAGCCACAAAAGAGGTGGGGAAACAGACAGTTAAAGGAAGAGTTAAGGGAGAAATACAGAGCAAATGGTTCCCTCCTTACATGTCAGTAATTTTAGACTTCTCACCCGTCTATGTATAAAGCACGCTAAAGAAACCAATAAACCCCAAAACAACCGGTACATCTTCCTAGCATTGACTGAGATATCTGAAGACAGCCAAGATTATTAAGAGTTTCTTTAGATAAACTATTATATGCTGACACATAAGCACTAATTTAAAAAGATGTCAAGACAACCAGAAAACTAGAAGTGTTTTGGTGGGTTTTTTACACAAAGTTCTAATGAGAAACAAAAAAATGGTTACCTTTTGCAATCAGCTAAAGACTAACTGCAAACTTTTCTGACAAGGTAAAAAGAAAAAAGGCACCTAAAGAATTTTCTTGCAGCAACAGAAAAACCACCAGGCACTTTCTATCACCAGACTGAAATAAGCAGTCATGAAATTACTGCTGTGGTCAGCAAGATCCTCCTCTCTGCAGAGGCTTGACACTGGAAGAGGAACAATAAATGCTCTCTCAGAGAAGCAGGAGCAGCCTTCCAGCATGGAAGTTTCCAACATGACAAACCAGAGGTTGCCTCCTAGAGAAACCCAGGAGAAGCTGGCTCCAAACAGGAGGTCATCACTATAAATTTGCTTTTCAAACGTGCATTGGGCCCCCTAAGAGGAATACAGCTCTTCTTCAATGGTGATTAAATGCACTAGTAGGTTGTGTATTCTGATTATCTGATGTACTGCTGACTTTCAAATTTGCACGTACGTAATGATACAAAACTGGATGCATGGCAGCATAGGATCAAAGCACTAGAAGAAGAACACAGTGGAGGAGAAAAAGAAGATGGTATAGGGAAAAAAAATGGAAGTAGCACAGAACATTTATATTATGACCAATTGTATAAAAAAAAAAAATAGAGCAGAACAGTAACCAAACAGCTAGCAAACTGTCAAGATTAATTGCTATCTAGAAAAAAATATCAAGTAATAATTGTTATTATACACTGCAGTAAAGAAAATTAATGCACGGTTTAATGACTGCTGAGTAAGTATTTTAAAACCTGGCCTGATTTCATTAATATGAAATAGGCTGAATGTAGCTTGTCCAGCCTAAAGAATCCCAGCACTTTATTACCCTCAAAAATACTTTTGAGTTGGACCATCTCTGGCATCCTTCCTTAATATTCAGTGTTTCTCATTTTCATGGTTAAAAAAATAAATATAAAATGACCTCTTTGAGCCATGAAATACGATTCTGTTGTTTAAGGACATGGCACTCAACCTCTTTCAGATAATCTGTTACATTCAGCAGAACACATTTTTCTCTCCGCTCTTCTTCCCTTACAGGACGATGCCAACGCAGCACTCTGGCGTGCTGCAGCAGTCCCAACACTGTTCACCTTTCTGAACATGGAAGTTAAGAGTACTCTTGCAGTGATGAAGAAATGAGGACCAAGCCAATTTAAATTGCAGTTTGGACAAAAAGTTCAGTATGGTTGAAAGGGCCTAATGTAATTCATGGCATTCAGCTTCCATGTTCTTTGTTAACGAAAAGAAGGAACCCAACCAGCTGTACGCAGGGAAACAACAATGTATCCAAGCATCTTAACTGAAAATAAAATATCCAAGCCTGATACCTGGCTGCACAGCAGCACAACCTGCAACCTGGACACCCAGTGGATATTGTGCAAGTGTGAAGATGCACCAAGTGCAATCAAATGCAAAATCAAGCTCTATTGACAGATTTTGCTGACAGCTGGCACTTTCTCCCCCACTCCACACCCCAGGAAGCTTTTGGTTAAAATTCTGAAGGTGTTTTAAGCTGGCACTGACTTACAGTATCAGGAAGCTGGTCTTGGAGGGGAGGATGAGATTGGGTGCACAAAAGAGAAGAGGGCCTAATTCTCTAATTCTCAGGACACTAAGGGAACATGCAACGTCCAGATGTCCCCAGTCCTCCAAAGCCTTTCCTGCAGCTCTCCCCTCTCCCAAAACCCATACACATTTTCCTGAAATCGGTACAATTTGCTAGGAAAAGTCTTAGAGCAAACACAAAATAATACAGTTGTATGTTCCCAAAATACTTAAAAATATATTGCAAAAGAGTGTTTTGAAATCCAGAGGTATTTAAAAACCTATCCTCTTCACAGAGGATGATGAGATTCAGAAGCTGAAGAGATGAAAGATTGCTTCGCTGCTTCAGGAATAAAAAACACACCAGGAAGCAAGAACAGCTGTTTGCGTGCTCAGGAGATGGAAGCCGGCCTGTTCCAAATAACTCCCCTCCCCTGGACTTCACAATTCCACCAAAAGTAAAATATTTCACCTATTCAGTTTAAAAAACCAAACCAAAATAAAAAAAACCCCACCCAAAAATTACCCCCCAAGCCCACCTCCTCTACAGTTCTCCCCTTAGGTGAAGCTATAGCAAATAGACTAAGCAGATTCAAAAGTGTATGTACTTTTTAGCAAGCCCTTCTTAACTTTCCTTCCGAAAATCATTGCCTTGGCGTAACATTACACTATTTACATTATAGACGTATATGAAACCGAAGACAGGAATGCACAAGGACT